TTTTTTTTTTTTATATCACTGATGTATTAGGACAACACCCACCTCAGCACTGCGTGTGCAATGTATATTATTAGGTATGGTATCTATCATTTTGAACACAGTGAAAGCATCTAAAGATAGGGGTAAGAGTTTAAATTATGAATATGCAACCATGAGCTTCCTCGCTTAGCAAAACCTACGTACGTAGTATCGACTACGGAACAACCTCACGTAGGTTTTACTGCTCACAAACAAGTGACAGTCATGCAGACCTGCATTCCTCCTGTAACGTGAGCCTTAAGCATAATCCTTTCTTGCATTTACAAATTAAGCAGGACAAAATATCTATTCCTGCAAGCAAGTTCACAAAGATTAATTGAATGCAGACTAGCAGGAGAATATCAATAATTAACCCTCTGCTCGTAGTTTATAGTCTAATAAAACACAGGCACGAAAGCATTCAGGAACATGAAGAGTATTTCGCCTAATTTTATCCTCAATTTCAACAGCAATGGCACTCTGATAATCACATCCAAGAAAGGAAAATAAAAGTTACAAGAAATGTCAGATGGGAAAAATTGGTAGTGTTTCTAAAAATTGCTGTATACATTCCTAACTTAATTATTTTATTCATACCGTTTGATTTCCAGGAAAGCAAGGCAAGATGTTTGAAGAACTGATAAGGAACAAAGAAGCTATATTCCACAAAATATATTAGAGGAAAAGAAGAATTTGCTGCAATTTACTCCTTCATAGAGACAATCAAGTAACACTCTGGACTTTTTTTTAAGTCTTTTTTTTTTTTTTTTCTTTTTCTAAGGGTCACAGGAAAAAATCCTCTCTATAAGACACCATCTGGCATTATCAGAAGCCAGTATTAACTCTTTGGGCAAGGAATCATTCTTAAGCCTACCTTCAACTGGGCCTTGCCCATGCCATTATATTTTGCTGCAAATCTGAAAGACTAAAAGGCAGGCAATGTCGAAACAATCTATCCTACTCTACACTGACTGCAAAGTCAAGGTCAGTACGGTGCAGTATAATGCAATTATTCATAACAGTATTGTAGCAGAGTAACAGTGTTAGTCGGGGAAAAACCCACAGTAGCTGATCAATATCCAGAGGTAATAAAGAACAGCCAGGAACTTCCCCAGCCCTCAGAAAATACAATACTCGCAACTGTCACTAGAAGCTTTTAGATCAAACTATCCAAAAAGCTAAAGAATCAGAAAAAAATACATATACTTCTTTGACTTTCTCTTCAATCTCTGAAAAAAGATGTAATTTATGAGCAACTAGCTCTCTACCTTGAGATCTCTGTAGTTAGTTCAGCAGCAAAAGAGTAACAGTCACATTGTTATTACACATATTCACTGTATTTAAGACATTGTTTAACTTGAAGTTATTATTACCTGTCCCGTCTTCCCAAGCTCTAATGGATAAAGAGCAACCTCACAGTAAAACTCAGGAATAAAGCTGCACTATCCAAGCCTGTAATTCAATTTACAGTCAATTTTTCAAAAGCACATAGGTGTTTGAAGTGCCTCATCTCACACTCAATTCAAAACATAGGCACTAGCTGTTGAAAAAAAGAAAATTGAAGAAAACACCATCGATTCTCTCTAAGTCATTTTAAAAACACTGGTAAAACATTAAAAACAGCTTCTCTACAGTAAGCTGTCTATGTCATTGTAACTGTATTAAAAGAAAAAACAAACCTGTTTTCCACATTCTAACTTGGCCATCTACTAGAAGGTATATAGATGAGAAGATAAGACATTCATTTCCCAGCCTTTTTATGCTTGTATTGGTATTATAGAAACTCAAAAAGCCTTAATTTTCAGTTTACAATGTGTATTTTCTCAGGAAAAATAGTTAACTTGTAATTCTGAAGAAACCATAAACGTAAAACTTGTCATGTCATTATTGTGCTAAACTGCCTTGGTTACAGTGCAAACGTTGTCTCCCAAACTCCAGCTACTACGACTTCCTTTGTGTTAGATCTCAGGGTGGCTGTTTGCTGGTGCAGTTACTCTTCTTGCGTTTAAATAGAGAAATCCAAGGTAAAAGCAAGTTTTAAGCAGGTTGGAAAGTTCCTCAGTGTCCGTTTACCCCATTTTCTAGCATGGACTAGTTCAGACAACAGTTCTGAAAAGTTCTGGCTTCATTCAGAAGCCCATTATTTAACAAGCATATACTACTAACCTGAGAACAAAATACTTTGTTACTGCCATTTGGAACATTCAAATCACCAAAATGATAAACAGTTGCAACTTTAATAACGATATTTTAGAATATACTCACCCTGGATTATAAAGCATAACCGCTGACAGGTTCTCACAAGATTTTGAAAGATCTGTCATAGACAAGCTGAAGGAAGATAGCAGTCCACTCTAGCAACAGACCAAAAAATAAATGCATTAGACAAACACTGATGTGCTTACTTCAGTTTATGAAATATTAACTAATGTATATGAAGCAAATAAAAAGAGTATTCTACAACAATCAAGGTACATCTATATTAACAAGAAAATTGTGAAAAGGTTTAATTTTCCCCAAACACTGATTTAATCTCACCTTTCTTTTTTCTCTTAGCTTAGCAGCTTCTTTGGGGTGGTTAAAGCGAAACATATTGGTTCTTCCAAGTAATATAACAGCACCTGATGAGAAAAACACACGCCATTCACTGACAACATACTATACCTGAAAATGCCAAGTAATTTTTCAGACACACAACATGTAAGCAGACTGCCATTAAGCAAGAACAAAATGAAAATGCATTTTGACAATTCAAGTGTATAACAATGCACAGTCATGGCTACGTTAACTGCTATATACAGTTTGTTCCTTCGTCTTCCTACCTAAAAGAAACCCAACCAAACAAAGACAAACCACTCGTGTTCACACACACAAAGGCCATGCAGTTCAGCTAAAGGAAAAATATAGGTAAAGGAAGCTGTGGAAGCAGCTGCCCCAATTTCATCTATACACTCTTCCACAGTGCTATTTAGAAGCCACCAGGAGGTACCAGATACAATGGGAACGTCCATAAATGTGAGTAAGAACAAACTTGTCGTCCACTACTGATCGCAGTCAGGTTTGAACCCACCTACACTGAAAGCTCCAGATCTCCATAATGTGGACTCTCACCTTTTTCTTCTCTATGTGGAACAACATTGAAGTTTATTGTCACTCAAAATGGGATTATTAGGCTTTTATACCCAATAGTTATTTTCTGAGGGAAGAACCTTGAATAATTCGTATTGCTCAATGCACATCCATTCTTGTATTTAATCAGCTATGGTACAGATCACAAATAATGAGATTCTGGGCAATTCTTATCATTTTTTCAAGATAATGGCACCAAGATTAGTACCATCCTACAAAGTAGTATATTGTCAGTGATGTTGCACTACTGTCATAACATGGAAGTCTTCCAAGTTAGCCACCACAGGATCAAGCCTTATCTGTCAGTCGGTATGAGGCATTTTTAAACAGAAAAAGAACTCCATTACACTCACAGTATGAAAAAACTGCATTCAAACTGTTCACTACAAACAAATTCTTACCATCTAAGAATGACATGCTCTCCTCAATAAGGAATGCTTCTCTTAAAATTAGCTTAATTAGGAATATCAATCCAAATAAGGTCATTCAGTCTTAGCAAATCACTGGCAAAAAGCTCTGTAGTCATGACATCACTTCTTGCTATCTACACAACACCTCCATTTTGGACCATATCAACAGTTTGCCTCAGTCTAATCTTGAAAAGAATAACCTTTCATAAATCTGTACGTAGGTTTGTATTGCAAAGTCATTTTGATACCACCTCTAATTTGTATGACGACCTTTCCTTCGAGCAGTGCGCTGGGCACACTTTTAGGTAAGCATTTTAAAAATGATCTCTATGGTCACGACTGCAGTAGTGAAAGGGCTAAAACTGCTTTTAGCCTACTACTGCTTCATATGCTCACAGTTGTCCCAAACATTCATCTGTTCCACTCTTGCTGACTGCCTGGAGAGGGATTTTGTGACAGTGAGGATTTCTACAAAATTCCTTCAGTTACTTTCAAATGAAGATAAAAATAATTAATTGTAAACATTTTTGACCACTTTACTAGGTGGAAGCAACTGAAATTAATTAAAATCTCGAAATTAATACAGTTAATAAATATGTGTTCCTAACTTCAAGAATTTAAGAGAAAACAGGAGAAACAGGCTTAACAGCAAGCACATGACACTCAGATGACGGATCATATGAACATCTCCTAGGTTTCTCTTAGTACTTCTCTGAATACTGTGATCATTTTTGCATTATGCTATTATTAAGGAAAAATTCTACAATCTTAATTCCCACTTGACAGAACTTAGATAAGCATCAACATCAAAACTTCTTCAGAAAAAACTAGTCTGGAGAAAACCGTGCAGTCAAATTAAGCACCAGGTTTGATTGTCCGCTGTTGTACGATGCAGCTCTCCATCAGAAGATAAGTACACCAAGTACAGCGTAAATGTCGTCATGGAAACATAACTGGATTTGCTATGGGGTTTGCTTTCCATTTATTTACTGTAAGCAACAATTCTTATTCTCCCTGAATGTTAAATGGCAAAGAAAAAAGGTTTGTCAAATACATTGATAGTACTAACAACAACAAAACTAGGCAAAAATTCTTTATCACTTGCGGAGCTCTGATCTTGCAATTTAACTGGTCATATAAATTACCAGAGAGCAATGGAAATTAAAAAAAAAATAAAATTATATATATAAACACACATATAAGATGAACGTCGTTGAATGTCATCAAGTATCTCTGACTTACACAGAGCAATATTTTGGAACTATGCAAACAAATGTATCTATCATTAAGATCTCACCAACTTCTAAAAGTCACTTTTTTATTTTTACAAAGTTTTTTTTTATTAACAAACTATAAAAAAAACAAGCAGTGTGAGGTTACATTAAGTACAGAAGGGTTGGCAGTTTGGCCGAAAAAAGATGAAAGCTTGGTTTAACGTGAGGATAGATTTAAGGTAAAGGACAAACTAATTGTGA